ACTGAGGTGCAATATAAATAATCTGTTTTCCTACAGTTTTTGGGGGTCCAGTGCTTGCCGCATCTCCATCCAGCATGGATGCCACATATAGCTGTACTGCATGCTAGGTGCCCTGGGTTGTAACTAGTTCACTAGTTGAGCAGTAAGGGCCCATCTACATCATAGTGTTGCATTAAATGCACGGGACCCGTATGCTCCGTGCACCTTATTGCATACCACAAAATACCTCATGCTCGGTGCGCTGCTGCGTTGCATTGCCATTCATTCTTGATGACACCCCAATGCACCTTCCAGCGGCCATGCACGATACTGCAATAATGTGTGTTATGTTGCCGTGCAGTGATAAATGATGGTGCATGCTTTACTACATATCAACACAACACAAGTTATTGCAGTACCGTGCATGGCGGTCAGAAGGTGCATTTAGGTGCCAAGAATGAATGGCAATGCATCAGCGCACCTAGCATGAGCTATTGTGTGCTATGCAAAAGGGTGCGCTACGCATATAGATCCCGTACCCGAGGGCAACACTGTGGTGTGATTGGATCCTTACCGCTGAACTAGTCATTTGTTTTATATCATGGAGGAAGCAACAGTGGAAGATCTGAAGGTATGTAGGAGAACTCCAAATTCTCAGGTGGGCAGCAACAGGGCAAGGAACTACAGGAGGTGGGCAGGAATAGGGCAAGGGACTATGGGAGGTGGGCAGGAACAGGGCAAGGAACTACAGGAGGTGGGCAGGAACTGGGCAAGGTACTACGGAAGGTGGGCAGGAACTGGGCAAGGTACTACGGAAGGTGGGCAGGAACAGGGCAAGGAACTACAGGAGGTGGGCAGGAACTGGGCAAGGAACTACGGAAGGTGGGCAGGAACTGGGCAAGGTACTACGGAAGGTGTGGGCAGCGACAGGGCAAGGAACTACGGGAAGTGGGCAGGAACAGGGCAAGGAACTACAGGAGGTGGGCAGGAACTGGGCAAGGAACTACAGGAGGAGGGCAGGAACATGGCAAGGATCTACAGGAGGAGGGCAGGAACTGGGTAAGGAACTACGGAAGGTGGGCAGCAACAGGGCAAGGAACTACGGGAAGTGGGCAGGAACAGGGCAAGGAACTACAGGAGGTGGGCAGAAACAGGGCAAGGAACTACGGAAGGTGTGCAGCAACAGGGCAAGGAACTACGGGAAGTGGACAGGAACAGGGCAAGGAACTACAGGAGGAGGGCAGGAACATCAGGGCAAGGAACTACGGAAGGTGTGCAGCAACAGGGCAAGGAACTACGGGAAGTGGACAGGAACAGGGCAAGGAACTACAGGAGGAGGGCAGGAACATGGCAAGGATCTACAGGAGGAGGGCAGGAACATTGCAAGGATCTACAGGAGGAGGGCAGGAACATGGCAAGGATCTACAGGAGGAGGGCAGGAACAGGGCAATGAACTACAGGAGGTGGGCAGGAACAGTACAATGAACTACAGGAGGAGGGCAGGAACAGGGCAAGGAACTACAGGAGGAGGGCAGGAACAGGGCAAGGAACTACAGGAGGAGGGCAGGAACAAGGCAAGGAACTACGGGAGGTGGGCAGTAACGGGGCAAGGAACTACAGGAGGTGGGCAGGAACAGTACAATGAACTACAGGAGGAGGGCAGGAACAGGGCAAGGAACTACAGGAGGAGGGCAGGAACATGGCAAGGATCTACAGGAGGAGGGCAGGAACATGGCAAGGATCTACAGGAGGAGGGCAGGAACATGGCAAGGATCTACAGGAGGAGGGCAGGAACAGGGCAAGGAACTACAGGAGGTGGGCAGGAACTGGGCAAGGAATTACAGGAGGTGGGCAGTAACGGGGCAAGGAACTACAGGAGGTGGGCAGGAACAGGGCAAGGTTCTACAGGAGTTAGAGCTTAACGTCAGAATCCTCAAGGGACAGAAGACCCCCTTTATGTTAGCTCCATGTCAGAAGAAGCCCGGCCTGCAAGGAGAAGCATGAGCACTTACCTTAAATTCAGCATTTTTTAACATATAATCATAAAAAAGAAGAAACAACGAAATAAAACTGCCACAAAACCATCATGGCTTCCCTTCGGGTGACGGCCACACACAGTGACAGTGAACGGTAACAATTGCCGTCATGCATACGAGCAAACTGCAGCTCTGCCAGGAAACGTATCACTCATCCGTGTCTGTGCGCAGACGATCGGCCGCCCTCCCTCCCTGTGCCTCTGTCAGGTGTAGGAGAGACCGGCGAGGGTGCAGAAGCCGAGGCCTCGCCCTTCCTGGAGACACAGCGAGGAGTTGTTGTTTGGTGTGCAGCGGACATTTAGGAAACGCTGGGTGTAGAGCGGTTTCCTGAGGCTGCTGAGACAGGAGACAAGGTCAGAATGCCCAACTCCACTTCTAAATCTAAGCAAAAAAGAGAAAATAAATAGCCGTGTCCTTGTCATCATAATAAAAAAGAAGGCCGCCATGCGGTACTCACCTCCTTTCTCTGATGCCTCTTCGGGGATGAATGACACCCAGTGCCATTCAGCCCATTTCTTGTGAGCCCAGGGTGTCATGGTCCCGCCCCCTAGGAGGACATCATCAGGCTGCCCAATGCTCACAGGATAATGCTGCAGGGGACACTTGGGAGCCCATCCCCTCCCAAGACAGAAGAGGAACCCGTGACGTTATGCAAAAGGA